GGAAGATGAAGGACAGAGTGGAGGATGAAGAGTGAGAGAGGAAGATGGAAGATGAAAGAGGAGGATTGAGGATGAAGGAAGAAGGATGAAAGGAAAGGATGAATGAAGGGTAGAAATGGAGAAGGATGGAAAATGGAGCATGGAATATACAGAATGATGGAGGATAAAGAAGGAGAGGGAAGGGAAAAAGGGAAGGGAGGAGAAGGGGATGGAGAAAGGAAAAGGGAAAGGAACTGCCTGCAACTTCCACTTTCCCCAGCACTGCCTACACCCCCGAAGCCACAGACTACGACGTGCGGGTGCTGCTGCGCTTCCCGCAGCGGGTGAAGAACCAGGGCACAGCTGACTTCCTGCCCAGCCGTCCCCGGCACAGCTGGGAATGGCACAGCTGCCACCAGTGAGTTGAGGACACCCACGTGTCCCCACCGCCTGTCCCCTGTGTGTTTTCTGCTCCGTTCTGCATCTTCTCTGCTTTACTAACAGCATTTTCCCTTGGTTTTCTGGCTTGCTTCATCTCTTTGCTGCTCCAGGGTCTTTGTGGGGGTCTGCTTTGCTCTGCCTCTGCTCCAGGAGCCACCAAACCTCTCTGACTAACGTCACCACTTGGTGCTGGCACAGACGTGGGGTTGTCGCAGAGCCACTCATAGCCCCAAAACCCACATTTGTGGAGGGGACGGCATGAATGGCAGGGGCACGGTCACCCCACTCCCTCCCACCTGCAGGCACTACCACAGCATGGATGAGTTCAGCCACTACGACCTGCTGGATGCCACCACGGGCAGGAAGGTGGCCGAGGGCCACAAGGCCAGCTTCTGCCTGGAGGACACCACCTGTGATTTCGGCAACCTGAAGCGCTACGCCTGCACGTCCCACACCCAGGTGGGATGGGGACACGTGGCTGGGGATGCAGCAGGGCTTGGAGAGATGCTGAGGGCCAGCCCCCAAACCCATTTTCCTTCCTGCAGGGCTTGAGCCCAGGGTGCTACGACACCTACAACGCTGACATTGACTGCCAGTGGATCGATATCACAGATGTGCAGCCGGGGAATTACGTCCTAAAGGTGATGGAGGGGCTTTAGGGGGTATGGATTTAGGGTCTCATTTTTGGGAGGGTCTTCTTTACCGTTCATTTTCTTACATGGGCTTTTTCCCCCCTTCTTCCCCCTATTTAGGTCCAGGTGAACCCCAAATACATCGTCTTGGAGTCAGATTTCACCAACAACGTGGTGCGGTGCAACATCCACTACACTGGCCGCTACGTCGCCACGACAAACTGCAAGATCTCCCAGTAAGGAGTTGTCTGGCTGCTGATCTGAGTTTATCCTTAGGAGGATAAGATGGGATGGAGGGGTTAATGCTTTTTATCACTTCAGGTTTGGAGTTGGCCAAGGGTGAGGCTGGGGGCTGGTACCGTGCTTGTATCATTCCTACTTGTTATATGACATTGTTTATGCTTTCTCATTATTCTGGGGGAAAAAAAGCTGCAATGCAGATTTTATCGAATCAATCTTTCCCAGCTTTAAAATCAGGTTTATCAGTTCCAAATTTTTATGTTGCCTCTTGCAGATCTTGAGCCAAGCGGGGCTGCCCAGGCTCCTCCAGTGCCCCACCACGAGCCCAAAACCACCTCAGAACACCACCCCCGACTGCTTCACACTATCCAGAGAGAAGCAAGAGTGACTGTTTGAAATATTTTTATACTTAACTTTTCTTTAACCTGCATTGTTTTTCTGTTTTCTGATGGAAGCTGATGATAAGTTGTAGCTGGAATAATGGAAGGCTTGCTACCGAGCTGGCAGATCGCATGTTTAGCAATAGGGAGCTCGGTAGTTTAAACCTGCCTGTATTTTAGGGGGGTTCAGGCACTTCCACACACCCCACAGCACCTCCCAGCAGGATGAAGGCAGCAAAAAGTTGGAGGCGCTTCCCCAGAAACTCGGGCTCCGTGCACAGTCCTCGGGACAACAGGACGCCTGGTTTATTACTGAAATCATTATTTTCACGAGCTGTTAAGAACAACAACAACAAAATGCCGACAAACAACAACAAAACCGGAAACCATTAAAACACGTTGTTTGGGGCTTTTTCTGTTCCGTTTTACGCGGGCTCAGCACCAGGTGGCGCTGGTGAGCAGATAGGGGAGTGGGCGTGGCCTGGGATGGCACCGCCCATTTGCTTAGACCACGCCCGCAGCGACGCGCCTCCCGCCACACCTGCGCTTTTACCCTCAGTCCTCACTCCGGTCCGTCCCGCTCAAGGTTGCGCATGCTCTCTCCACCTCCCGCCCACTGCGGGGGGGGGCGGGTCTATTTGGAGAGCAGTGGGGCGAGGATTGGGCAAGCAGCGCGGGATTGGCAGGAAGTGCTGTGAGACGTGATTGGGCAGCGGTGAGAAGGGGGCGTGTCCAGCTCCGGGGTGGAGGAGCCTTAGTACGGCAGTGTGGGGGTGTAGGGCAAAGGGGGCGCATGGGGACGGGGAGCAACACCACAGTTATCGGTCTGAATACCAAGGCAGGAGCTGATAACACCAAGTACAAGCTGAATTCGGAGACCCAAGATTCGATTACTGCAAATAGAGAGCTGGTGGTGAAGCTCGAGGGCAGCTCTAAGCTGCACGGCAGAGCTGTAGGAACCAAAGGAGGGGTTGTACTTTGGTCAACAGGAGCCCAGCACAGGGCAGAAGGCTCAACACCCCCCATACAGCAAAATCAGAGCTAGATGTGATAGCTTATAAACAGTTTATTAAAGTTTAACATATAAATTAATCTTTCCTTACACTGTTCTCAAAGAATATCTGGCATCCTAAACCAGAGGGTGAATAGAGACAGATGCTGAGAAGCTGTCTCCCAACAGACTCTGGTTCTGCTTCAGCTCCAGCAACTGCATGTCCTCTCAACAGGCCACAGATTCCCTTTGCCAGCACTCGTGAGCCTCCTCAGTGGCCTGAAGTCAGGAAGGGGAGAAGTAGCCGTGAGCTCCAGGAGTCTCAGCAGCAACCACATCCCCTTTCAACAGCCACAGATGGGGCTCAGGAAGCTCAAACCCCCACCAGGCCCTGGGATTGCACAGGGCCATCTATCTGCACATGCCACTGAGACCCAGTGAAGTGACCTACTGAGCTTCCAGCCTGCAGTTCCAAGAGAGCAACCCAGGGTCCATTCACCCCCATAAAAGCCACTTACCTCATCAGAGGCTGCCCAGAAGCCCTGGTTCTCCATTTCAAGGGTCTGTGTCCCTGCTTCAGGGTCTCTCCTGTCCGACAGGACGGCCACATCGCTCCAGCCAAACCTCCTGGTCCTCAGGCACTGGGGGGAGAAGAGGACTGCAGTGGTACCTCCAGAAATCCCTGTGGTCCCTCTTTTATCCAAGTTCAGCACCACAGCCCTTGTACTCTCCACCACCTCATCCCACAGAGGAGACAGACATCACCCTTACCACCAGCAGGACAATGGGAATGGTGATGATGATGAGGCCACACACAACTATGATGGACACGCCATACTCAGGAAAGCCAGGGGCAGGAGGGGGCTCCAGGGTGTCCTCTGGGGTGGAACAGAGCTGTTAGCACTCTTGATTTGGGTTTGCTGTTCCCACACCCCAAAAGAAGCTCACTCACCTCCTACCGAAATGGAGTATGGATCCACCTGGAAGTCTGAGGCAGCCAAAGCCTTGTCTGGCCCAACTGCAAGAACAAGAGCCTCCAGGACTTCCAGGCTGCTGGGAGCAGGGAGCTGGAACACTGCATCCCCATGACACAGCAGGGAGCCAGGCCTGTGGAGAAGGTTGGGATGAACTCCAGCATCAGTTGGTCCTAATGAGCGTCCACAGCTCCCAACTCAATGGGAGTGTTGGGATGTGTCAGTGCTCCTTGGGATGCAAAGGATGCCCACAAGACCTCCCCAGCCTTGTACCCTCTTCACCAGCCCTTTCACTCACAGGAATCCTCTTATCACCACTTGCAGGAAGCTCCCGTTGTCCCTCAGGGCTTTTGCCACCTAGAAGAAAGGTTTTGCTCAGCACCCCATCACTCTCCAGCCCCAAACAGGAAGAAGACATCTCACCCATACAAGCCCAGTCAAGAAGGTGATAACTGGTTTGTAGGGCCACCCCAAAGCAGAGCCATTCCTCCAGCACTGAGGAGGACCCCGCTGCTTCCCCACCTACCACATTTCCGAGGGCCCTCCTGAGCTCCCGGTGCTCAGCAGTGAGTGGATCCAGCAACTCCTTGCTGAAATGCCAATTGGTGACCAGGAAGGAGAGTGGGTAAACCTGCAGCTGCAGCCTGGTCCCTGGGGAGGCAGGAGGGGAGCTGAGTGAGCAGGAACAGCCACCAGCACCATCACCCATGGGAACAGCATCCTCACCTTGCACCGACAGCGAGCTCAGGTCCACAGAGCACGTGGCAAGGGCAGTCAGTGCCTGCAGGACTGCAGTGATGTTGGCATGGGTGGTGGTGTCCAGATAGATGTCCCCAGCCATCTCCAGGTCCCCATTGGCTTTTCTGTGAGGAGAGAAGCTCTAAGCAAGGCCTTCCTCCGTCCTGCTGAGCTGCTCACGGCCATAATAGTCATAGAGGAAGACAAAGATTTGGGCAACTGCCTGCCATACCTGAGCTGGCCAACAGTGATGTTCCTCACAGGGTAGAGGGCACTGAGAGGCTGCATCACCTGCAGGAGAAGGAGATGAGCTCACCCCCAGCCTCAGTGCAGAGCTATGGAGATGCATTTGCTTTTTGACAGGCTCCAGATGAGCAGCCATCACTCTGCTCCAACCCACTTGGCGTGGGGGAGCACCCGCCATACCTCACCAACCAGCCTCTCTGCAGGCTCCATCCCACCCAGCACTGTGAAGGAGAAGGACAGCTTCTCAGGGTCCAGGCTCTCCACATTGAAGCCTAGAAGAGTTGAGAATGCTATTCACACCCCCATGTCTTCCTTGGGAGATGCAGCAAGCCCTGACCTCATACCAAAACCAGCACCAGATGGTAGGAAGGATCAAGCTGTACAGCCTCCCATGGCCACGTCAAGGGTAGGATCAGATGGGGAGGTCAGGGGGAAGCCTGAGAGCCCCACCACATGGGTTTAGGGTTCTTTCTATGCTCAGGGAGGGCACTGAATGGCAGCTGCTCTGCTTACCGTTGGAGCTGATGGAATGGGGCTCCAGCCACCAGCTGAAGGCATCGTGCCCCCAGCTCGCCCCTGCCACCAGTGTGCGGATGAGGTGGGAGCTGGTAGGAGCCTCCCCCTGGAACACAGCCTGTGCTTGCACCAGCACTGAGCCATTCCTGGGGGTGAGAAGAAGGTCCCAAGGTTTGGATCTGCACAGCCCATCCATAGGGTCCCATCCCACCAACCCTAATCAACCCTACTCACTTAAACCCAAGGATATTTGCTTGGAGGAAGGTATCATAGGTGGACAACATCTGGTGCAGCTGGAATAGAGAAGCAGCTGGTGGTGAGAGGCTCCTGTATTCATGCTTTGCCCATCAGCCCTAAGCAAGTCCAGAAGCCAGCTCCAGAGGGCTCAGCCCACACTCACCATCATCCTCACTTCTTTCTCCAGCTCCTTGTAGCTCCTCGAAAACTTTTTGCTCAGATCTTCAGTGAAGGCAATACCCAAGAGCCTGAAACTCAAGGGCAAGGTGTGCACAGGGGTCTTTGTCCCCATGGATCCAGCACTGCCCACAGTTGTCACGAGTTGCTCTGGAGTGAAGAATTCTCCTGCTGCCACCCAGCTGGTGGCTATGGGGACATCAGCTCTGTCTGCAGAGGGGTGCTGGGAGGTGGCAGGAGAAGGGCTGGACTTTGGATGAGCAGACATGGGCAATGTTGACACAGTGAAGGTCTGAGAGCTTGGGGCATGAGTGGTGGTAATAGAAGCTGGCAGGTAAGTTGGGGATGGAGAACTGATACAAGGCCCTGCAGCAGAAGGCTTGGAGCTGGGAGGATGCACAGAGCCCAGCGTGTGCTCTGAAGATGCTGCTGGAGAAGGTGTCTGGGTGGTCAACCCCACCGGGGAGCCCTGGCTCACATCTGCTGCTTTTGGACACCAGGAAGCCCCCACAGCTGCTCCATGCTGGCACACGGTTTCAGTGGCCCCAGGCTCTAGGGTTGTAGCAGGAGATATCAAGCTCTCCCCATCCTCAGTAGGACCTGTGGTGCTGGGGAACCACATCCAAACGGGGACAGAAGGGGCTTTGGTGAGTGCTGGGCCAGCCTGGTGTGCAGGGGATGGATCACTAGGTTCCTCCAAGGTGACAGCAGAGCCCCCGAGCCCCTCTGTAGGAAGGGATGGAGCCAGTGCATGTAGGTGGCTGACGCCACGCGATGCAGCGCTGGGAGGTGACGATGAGATGATGGCTGTAAGCCCAGATCCATTTCCCAGCACCTCATCCCCAATGGTGCCTACCACCAGAGCAGCTTCTGTTCCTCCAGGTGTGACGGGAGGCATCCGCACAGTGCTATGGGTTCCATCCCAGCTGGATGCCCCTGCTGTTGGCAGTACTGGGGATGACTCTGGAAAGGACTCCAGTTGGGAAGTTTGCTCCAGTCTTGGGCTCCTTGTTGGGGCTGCAACATCAACAGTTGCATTCTGGATGTGGGAGAAGCTGCTGGGTGCAGGTGAGTCGGATGCAGTCATGCTGTTGGCACCCAGCTCCAGTTTCAGGGCTCCAGTTGGAGTTACCAGGCTCTCGGTATCCGTCCTATTGCACAAATCCTCTTTGCCATGGAAGCACCCCACGGTGCCCTCAGCATCCATCTGTGCCCTCCTGGATTGGCCAAGCAGGTCTCTGTGTAGTGCCACCATACTGTCCCTCTTGTACGAGGCACCAGGGGACAAGGCCACCAGTGAGCCCAGGATGTGGGGCAGGGCAGTAACAGACAGACAAACAGCCAGCACCAGGACAGCCCTACACCTCAACCCCCCAGAAGCAGGGCTGAGAGCTGGGACTGCATCCCCACGGCCACAAAACATCCTTCTGTACCACCAGGATGTGGCACCTGCAGAGCCTGGTGGTACCACCCTGCAGCTCAGCTCTGGAGAGCCCATAAGGACAGCACAGCTGCAAAGAGGAGCAGGAGGAACCTTAGTGAGAACCCCAACCCCAACCCCAACCCCAACCCCAACCCCAACCCCAACCCCAACCCACCTAGTGAGAAGAGAAAGCACCACACCACCTACCCCAGCCCTCAGCTTTTATCCCATTTCCAGTTGCCCTTGGCCAGCTGGCCCCCATTAGTCCATCAACACCCCAGGTGAGCAACTAATTAAAGCTTTCAGGCCCAGCCCCTATCAAGTCAAGGATATTCTTGGGGTTGTCCATGTGGTTCCCTTCCTAGGAAGGGTCTGTTGTAATCAATGAGCTGAGACTGAAACATGGTGTTGGAAAATGAGTTCTTTAATGAGGTGAGGTGCTTCTGGAGACTCACAGTCTTACAAAACATTAAATAAGGCAACATAACTTCCTTCCCTGGGACTTTATGCATAGGTCTATAGGTATATAAAACCACATTACAGGCTTATCAACAAACACTGCTTTCTAAACTCCTTTACAGCAGCAGCCTCCCCGTGCTGAGAGAGACCCTATTTGGCTATGAAAAATCATGGGTGTGTTTTTTTTTCCTTTTTCTCCATATTCTTAGTTTAAAATAAATACTCCTGTAGTGAAAAAATAATAACATAACCCTCATCTGAACTTGTTCCTCGTCTGCTAGCAACACCTGAGCTGTAAGGTTCTACACCGTGAGGTGGGGGGAAGGCAGTCTGTCTGTCTGTCTGTCTGTCCTGGGTCGTTCTCTGGGTGCCGGCAGCATTTGGGGGTGTTTTTGGTATTCATGTCCTTCAGTTCTTCTTTGCAGCCCCTTCCCAGCCAGGACTGAAGCTCTTCCCCCACCACCATCGCTCCCCTTGCTGTGGTCCAGCGCAGTCAATGGACGAAGTCAAATTCCTGAATAAAAGACAAGTATTAATTAGCACTGAGGAGATAAAATGAAACCGAAGGACAAAAGAGCCCAGAATGGGAAGGCAGCAGGTTGCACAGAGCTGCTGGGGTCGTTAGCGTGGTCACCTCCCCATACCCAAATCCTCCCAGGCACAAATCCCCGCTCCGAGCCACGTTAAGCACCGTATGGGTATAGAGATGTAAAAATGTCCATAAATGCACAAAAAAAGAACTCACCTCTACTGGCCAACCTCCGACCTCGACCCTGCAAGACACAAAGTCGGTGGTGATGCCTCCAGTTGAGGCAACTGGGACACGAGGGCAGGGTGGGACCGTCCTGCTGCTGAGAGCCTGCCTGCAGGAAGGAGCTGGGTTTTGTTGGGAGAAGCGTTGGGGTTTCTCAGGAGAGGATTTGGGGCTGTGTTTTATAGGGTCTGTGCCATGTGGAGGCCAGTTTGGGGAAACATGGTGGTCGAGCACTTGGAAAGTGAATGGGGAGCAATGGGGAAGAGAACTTTGTCACACCCGAGTCCTCAAGCAGGATGATTTTGCTGGGGCATCCTTGGGTTTAGTAGGGGCATCCTTGGGATTTAGGAGTGGAATCCTTGAGGTTTCGTTGGGGACATCTTTGGTTTTTGGTGGTGGGTCCTTGGGTATCAGTAGGGGCATCTTTGGGGATTTAGTAAGGAATCCTTGAGGTTTTGATGGGGGAATCCTTGTAGTAAGGAATCCTTGATTTTTGGTGGGGGCATCCTTAGGTTTGTGGTTTTAAGTGGGGAAACCTTGGGTTTTAACGAGAAATACTTGGGTTTTGGTGAAGAAACCTCGGGTTTTAATGGGAAATCCTTGGGTTTTAACAGGGAATTCTTGGGTTTTAATGGGGAACTCGGGTTGCAGTAGGACATCCTTGGGTTTTAGTAGGGAACCCTTGGGTTTTAACAGGAAATCCTTGGGTTTTAAAGGGGAATCCTTGGGTTTTAAAGGGGACCTCTCGGGTTGCAGTAGGGCATCCTTGGGTTTTAGTGGGATATCCTTCTCCAAGCCCCATGGGGAAGGGATGGGGATCACCCTGCTACCTACCGAGCTGCTGCTGAATGGAGTGGTGCCACAGGAGGTTCAGCAGATCTGGGTAGATCTCAGGGAGCTGTTTGAGAGCCAGGAGCTTCAGCATGCGTGAAGTGCAGCCCTTGAGCTCCAGCTCCCTCAGAAGCTTCTCTTCAGAGAGCGTGGTGGGCCGCAGCTCCACTTTGTGCTTCTGCAGCACCTGGTCCACAGAGGCCCCGGGGAGCTCGGGGAAGAGCTTCTCCTTCACCACGTGGATGGGGATGAAGATGGCACCTGCCCGCAGCACGTAGGGAAAGGGACACTTGCGGGTGAAGGCAAAAGCCTCCAGCTGAGCCAGGAGCTTGCTGAGGAGAGCGGCTGCATTGCGGAATGCCAGCCAGATCTCCTTGCCTTTCGGGGGCTTCTGAGGCTCAGGGAGTTTGGAGCCGTTTTTGGTTTTAGGAAGGGATCTGGGTGTCTCTGCCAGGGTGTCTCCCAGCTCTGTCCTCCTCAGCCAGTCCCGCAGCAGCTCCGGGGAGGACGCGGATACCGAGCATGAGATGATGCTGCACAGGGACATGTGCAAGGCAGAGAAACCCTGGTTGACTACGCATGGCTGGGCTGGGATGTGGCAGGGGCTGGTGGGCAAGGGGGGTTGGGGCAGGGCTGGTGACGTGTCCACAGGCTTCGTGTTGTGGCAAGGCTCCTGTGGGACAGAGGTGCTGGGGGAGCCCTGCCACGTGTGTGGCGGAGAGCTGGGCTGGGGGGCACCGGGGGGTCCCCAGGACTTGAGGATCTTGTATTTCTTGAACATGAAGGCAGCTGAGCTCTGGAAGTGGCTCCTGTCCTTAGAGCTGACCTCCACCAGCTGCGCTGGCACCTGGGCTTTGGTGTCCTCACCCACCTCCACTTGGTTGGGTGGCACCTGGGGTTTGGTGTCCCCACCCGCCTCCACCAGCTGCAGTGGCACCTTGGTGTCCTCAGCCACCTCCACCTGCCCCAGTGGCCCCTCTTTCTCCCCTGGGTCCAACATCCCCTCTGTGCGGGTGCTCCCCGTTGTCACCAAGCTCTTCTTCAAGCTCAAGTCCAGTGCCACATCACCAGGGATTGGCTCCCCACCGCTGTCCTGAAGCCCTGGGTGACTTCCTGCTGGTGGCTCTGGGGACACGGGCTTTGTCTTGGGACCTTCGGGGATCTTTTGGTGACAACTCTCCCCTTCACCACGCAGCGAGCTGGATGTCGCCTTGATGCCAGCAGGCTCCTGACCGCTGCTTGAGTTTTGTGGTGTGGCTGCTTCCCCTTGTGGATGCTCCTTGGGGACATCAGTGGAGCCTTCGGTCCCCTCCAGGTACTCCCGGTAAGGCGCCAGGCTGAAGACCTTGTTGATCACTGGCATCGGTGGGGAAGGGGGGGACACATCACCACTCTGTCGGTCCCTCAGCCTCTCCTGGGGACAGATGGCCCTACAAGGGATGAAGTGCTCCTTGGTGGCATCCCCGACCCCAGCTTTGACCACCTGCTGCTGGCAGGGGACGGGGTTGGCCGTCAAAGCCTTATCCAGACTGTAGCCAGCCTCTCCTTTGGGAAACGGCCCCAACAGCCCATCAGGTGTCTTCTGTGGGGTGTGGATGGGGTGGAAGGCGCTGCTGTGCCTCGTCACCACCCTCCCTCCATGGGCTTCCAGCGGTGCCTTTCGCCCATCGCTGTGATCCTCCGTAAACAACACAGCATCCATGGGGCTGAAGGCGAATCCAGGATTTGGATGCAGGTACCCAGGAGCTGGAGGCAGGGGTGGAGGCTCAAGATCCCTTGGTGGTCCCATTGCTTTCAGAGAGGGCAGCGTGCCCGGAGCGGCCGGCCTCGACGCAAAGCAATCCAAGGGGCTGGGATAGTGGCTCTGGGGGGTTGGGGGCTTAAGGTAAGTGCTGGGAAAAAGGGGAGATTTCCCATTCACCATGAAGCCGAAAGCTTTGTAAGAAAAGGAGCCCGGAGGCTGCGGGTAGGGGGGCTGTGGGTAGCAAGCAGAGGGATGCTCCCGGTGTGCCTTCATCCAGGGGTCTGGGATGCAGGTGGGAATTTCGGGTGGCTTCCCCTGGTCATGCACAGCTGGGGGACCACGGTACTTCTCAAAGGCAGTGTAATAGTGGGAGAGGGTGACGGGGGAGGGTGGGGGCACAGCAGACACGGCCCCCGGCCCCCTTTGCAGGGCATCACCTCCCTGGGAGCTCAGCGGTGAGAAGCAAAGTGGGGCTGCATACACGGGCTTGGGGACGGCTGGTGGCTTCTTCAGGGGGAAGGGGTGGCCCTGCTGGCTGGGCCACTTGTCCTGTGCCACCAGGGGGTCCCACATGGGGTGATTTTTGCCCTGCTCAGCACCCGGTCTGACCGTGGGGCTGTGGGGCTGGCGGAGCAGGCAGTGTAGGAGTTGTCCCTCTGCCTGTGGGCAGGAGAAGTAGGAGCCCTTGTAGCCGAGGTGGGTTTCGGGGCCAGCTGTGAGCACAGGGTTGGGTTTGCAGGGAATGGAGGGGATGCCCGGGTCGGGTTCGGCCTCCAGCCGAGGTAGCTTGTGAAAAAGGATGGCATCCAGAGGCTCTGAGTGACGTTTTGAGGCCATTTATACTCCACCGAGGTGTGCGATGGGAGAGGTCAGCTGGCCTTCCTGGGTGGGGAAAAGGGAGAAAACGGGTCAGACACAGCAGGGTGCATTCACCTCTCTCTTGTCTGAAGTTCTTCGGACCCTTTTGGCATCTTGTGGTTTGGGGTGGGACCTGCAGCACCAGGCGCTGCGTGCCAGCAGGTGGAGCTGGCAGACCATTGCATCACTGCCCGGCCTTCCTCATCACACCCCAGAACCTCCAGCACCTCCGGGGAGTCCCACCGAGACGCCTTGAGCATCCCTCCGTGCGTCCCTCCGTGCACCCAGGAGCAGCAGCAGACATCCCCCAGGATCTCTTGGGCATCCCACCGAGATGCCTTGAGCATCCCTCCAAGAGCACCACCCAAACACCTCCAGGCATCCCCTGCCATCCCCCAAGCATGGGCCAGCTCCACTTGGGACCCCCCCCCCAACAACCTCCAGGCCCATGGATAGGCTCAGAGTGCTGGGATCTCACATCTTCTCCACACCCCCTCGTTTTTTTTTTCTTTTTGTGGCAAGAATCAGCAGAGAAACAGAGAAGGAAATGGAGGAAGAGAGCGTGGAGATAAGATAAAAGCCCTGTCCGCAGAAGGGGAAATGGCTTCGATAGCGGGGCAAGCTTGCTGGGGTAGATAAGGGGACCCAAGCTCGGTGGCTTTGCTGTGGAAGGGGCTTGAACCCATGGATGAGGCTGGGGAGGGGACATGTTTCCCCCCTCACGTCCCTTAGTGCTGCCATGTCCCTCTGCTGGGACATTTGGGACGGAAGACTTCGGGGAGGAGAAATACAGGAAGGCAACAGGAGCCCTGCAAAAGCAGGAGGCTGCATCCCAAGGCACATCCAGCAGAAAGACGGAGCCAAAGGTGTCACCTCCACGTGCACGGGACGGGGCTTTCCCCTTTTCCCCACAGTGCCGACGTTTAAGATGGATACTGCACTCAAATATCGTGCCTCACCCAATTTCTGTGCCTCCTTTTCCCCCTTCCCTGACATGCACTCATCTACAAAGAACCATTGTGCAACCATTCCACGGTAGGTCGACGCCAACGCTCGCGTCCCCCCCAGCCCCAAATCCCCCTCCCAGCATCGGGGAAACATCACAGAATCATCCAGGTTGGAAAAGGTCACCGACATCATCCAGTCCAATCCCACGACTGGGGACGGTGACCCCACCACCGCCTTCGTTTCACCCTACATCGAAGCGGACGGGGAGCCCTCCAGCTCCGCCGTGCCCACGTGTCCCGTCCCGCTGTCCCCAAGGGTGGTGGAGGTGACACGGGGCCCTTGGGTGCTGCCGAGGAGGTCACCTCCCCGATATCCCCGCCGGGTGCGGGCACGGCCGTTGGCTGTGGGTGCAAAGCGGAGCCCGCCTGCCGGTGGAACCCATGGGGACTTTCACTTTGCAGCTTTTTAACATCTCGCACCCAACGGCGTTGCGCACGGATGGCAAAACTCTGCACTCGGGGTCACCGAAGCAGCTTTTTACAGCGGGGAAAAAAAAAAAGAAACGCAAACCTACCGGCCCCGTGCAGCAACCGCATGCTCTACACCGGCCATAAATGGGTAAAAGCCTGCAAGCCGAGCTCGGGTCCCATAAGCAAGAGCTGCCCCGCAGCAACCGAGAGGGAGGAGGGGGTTCGGAGCCGAACTGCCGAGCGCTGTTCCGCACTCACCTGGCGGAGCCGCCTCCTCCGGAGCATCTTACGGGGCCGAGCCGGGGAGGGGGCGGCCGGGGGGGGCCGGCACGGTGCTGCTGCCCCGCTCTGCTGCTCGCATTGTGCGGAGGAAGTGGGAGGAGGAGGAGGAGGAGGAGGAGGAGGAGGAGGAGGTGGTGGCAGTGGGGCGGCCGGAGGAGGGGGGAGGAGGGGACGGCCTCGCCACACGTGCGCCGAGCGCGTCGGGGCTCTGCAACCTCCAGCGCCTGAACTCCATCGGGGACGGCGGTGGCCGAAAGCACGCGGCCGTGCGTTGGGCTTCTGGGATCCGGGTCGTGGTTTTATTCATAGGAGCTGCGATGGAACTCGGCCAGCTTTCGGGAAACGGGAGAGCAAAGCTCGTTATTTGGATTTACGGCCGTGAAAAAGTCATTGGTGGTGGGTTTTGGTGCTCTGCACAGAAGGGCGGTTGGCTGTCGGTGGGACAGATAATCCCTTTAAGCTGTGATTGTGCCAGGAATGCTCTTCCTCACCCCGGTTTTCCTTTTGGCTCCGAGCTCAATGGGGAAACTTTCAAGAGTTGAAGAGAACTCCTCTTGGGAGCAGTTCTTTGCTGCTGGGCACCCTCTGCCAGCCTGCTGAATCACAGAACCATTGAATCAAGGTTGGGAAAGGCATTTAAGAGCATCTGTCCAACTAAATCTGATCCAATCCTTCATTAGTACTCCCAGATTTCTTAGCAGCTCTCGTTCTGCTAAGTCTATTTTTCTTTTCCTGTAATCTCTCTAATTCCATTTTCCTCCTTCAAAGGCATTTAAATGGTGTGACAAGAGGCTCTCAGCGCTCCTCCAATTTCCAGGGGGTATTCCTTCTACAAGGACTTATTCCTGAACACACTGCTCTCCACATAACGTCCCTCCTCACATAGCTCATTCTCCCCAACGTGTTTTTCTTTCTTAACAGCTTTTGCAGTAAATACACGTGGTTATTATAAAGACAGGTGGGAGGAAATGGTCTCTGGGCGATGATGCTCTCATGCTCCCTGCGATGCAGTGCGTGGCCAAATGGTGCTGGGATGGTGATGCAGAGGACCGTGCTTTGAGGGTTTTGTTTCCTCCTGGAGATTTCGGGATGTTTTCTCCCATTTCTGCCCTGCTTGAAACTGAAACAAAGGCCAGATTTTCAAGCTCTCTTTCCAGGATGGCACCCTCCTTCCCATCCCACCCCGCTGGTGGCAGTGAGCCCATCCTGGAGCTCGTAGCCTTGTTAGCAGCTCTGCCCTTGGAGACACGCCTGGAGGTAGCAATGTCCTCGATGAAGTTCTAATTATCAGGTTAATTGGAGCCGGAGAGCCATGCAGCTGCTCTTAATTCACACTCTGCACATTTCCCATGGAGGATGCTGGGGTTGCATCATGCAAGGCGAGGAACAGGACTGCTGCACTCCAAGGAGCTCTTCCCCCTCCCTAAAGACCCAGAGCCCTCAACGAGCCCCTCAGGGCCCCATTATTTTGGGCACGGGGAGGTCATGGAGGGCTGATGTGGGTTTGGGGCACTCCTGGTGGGGAACACCTCTGGATGAGGCACCCCATGGCACTGAGCTTCTCTCTTTGCGTTCACCTTTCCTCCCCCAGAAAAGCATCATTAGAGATGCAGGAGTCATTATCTCTAGATGATTAACCGCAGATAACGAGATATCCCCCCCAGCAACAGCCAAGCAGTTGTAATTCCTCAAGAGACACAACGCATCACTACATGAGGGGATGTTTTCCCAACTCTATTTTTTCCCATAGCAAGGAGAACTTTGGCAGCCCCGTTCCAGAATCGAGATCCCTCCACGAAGGAAAAGCCAATGAGGGAGAATATGGGAAGCCACCCGAGAACTGCCTGCCCTGGATCTTGCCTAGCAGGGAGTAACCATCCCTTATTTATCTTCTCTGGACTCCTACCCATCCCTGATGTCTTTTTCCATCCTACTCCACCCCCTTTTGCACAGGAGCCAGTACCTCCCCCCTCCTTTCTGTCTTAGTTCCTCTGGAGATGGAGATCAAATGGAGGGTATTAAACAGATTATCATTAAATACAGGGGAAAAGAACAAGTTTGGGATCCCAGCCCATGCGCAGCGCTGCGGGTGCTGTGTATGAACCCAACACCATCCCTCGCCTTGGGACCCCGCCAAGCTCTCTTGGCCAAATAACTTCCTGTCTTCTTTCTTTCCTCCTGGGCTTTTTCCATTCCTGGGTGTGTTTCCATCCCATGAAACTCCATGGAAAATTCCCAGCAGAGGAAAGATGAGTTGGCATTCCCTGCTGGAAAACCCCACTGTCATCCAGCCAGCATCACTGCACACCTCGGGTGCTTTTGTCTGGTGGCACCCACAGCTGTATGTCCTTCCCACGATGTGAGGATGCTCCACAGCCTTGGCTTTACGGCCATTTCCTGGCCCCAAAGAAATGGATCAGGCTGGGGTGGGATGTCCCTGTCCCTTGGCTCTGCACATCTGTCCTGTCTAGAAAGATGCACCTCAACCCAAAAAGCCAAGGTAGGAAGTTCTTTATCCTGACCATGCTACGCTCTCTGCTGTCCACACAAAGCCAACTGGTGCAACTTTCATAGGGCACCAGCTCCCCATAGGGCACCAGCTCCCCATAGGGCACCAGCTCCCTGAGCCCAGGTGCTGAATGCCCATAAAAAGAAAACTTCTACTTGGCAAGCACCAAAAACCCATCAATCACCTCCGAATCTCCATCCCACGCAGCAATTTTCAGTGCCCGGAAGGGAAAAATAATAAATGAACAAAGTTCTTGGCAGTGCCCACTGCAGTGTTTCAGATTCAGGTTCAATAGTTGGGATGCTGGACCTGCTCCAACAATCACGGTTTGGGATCTGAGTTCTTCTCTTCCATCCCTCCGTCACCACTTGTTGGTGGCTTTGGGGGCTGTGGGAAATGTGATGGAAGAGGAATGATGGAAGAGGAAAATGGCTGGAGAGGAGGTGGTGGTGGGATCCCACGGCTGTGGTCATGCCACACTGCAGGGCTCTGGGAATGTGGGTCACCACGCAATAAATCCCTGCCCTCCAGGTGAGAGCCTCATGGTGGAAGTGTTCAGAATCCCATGCTCTCTATTCTCCTTTTTATTCTATCCATCTGACATCACAAACCAGCTGGGAAAAGAGCAGGGCCACCCCATAGAGCTGGAGGCCACCCGTCACCACCACTGCACTCAGCGCTTTCTCCATTCAGCCTCTGGAAATCCAGAGTTTGTGGCTGGTTTGTTGGTTTTTGGTTTTTTTTTCCCCCCTTTTTGGTTTGATCTCAGCTTCTAGAAGAGCACAATTAGGAAAGGGGAAGGGATTCACACCCCAACCTACAGGCAACCCATCTCGTGGGTGGAAGGCTGCTGGACACTGCAGCAATGCAGCTCCAAAAGCACCTCTGACATAAGAAAACAGCCTTGGAGAGATAAGGCAGAAGTCACCTGAAGGAAAACAGGGCTCCTGCTGGGTACCACGCTGCCAAGTGGGACAGGGACAGACCAGATGCTGGCAAAACCACCCACGAATGTGGGTGTAGGATCAGGGTCGGGTGGAAAAATCAATAAGGTTATGGGGGAGGACGGAATAAAAGCCATAAAAAAAGAAAAAGAAACAGCAAACCCTCAAGAAATTTGGTTTTGGAGGCAGATGCCGAGATTGGAAAGAAGAAAGAGGATTGGGCAGTTCCCTTGTCTTGGAGGATTTCACGCAAACCCAACTTTGATGTGACACGTCCTGCTGTCTCACAAGGCTGCTTCATCTGCATTTTGGTGTTTCCATGCAGGAGGGGCAGCCCAAAACCACGACCTTTGGTCCCAAGCAGGTAATTAATGGGCTGGGCTTCATTTGCTCCACTTTGGGAAGCCCAGTGCACGGCACAGCAGGTCCTGGGTTTTCCAGACCTTTCATCAGTGTAGGTAAATCCCAGCCCAGGGCCTGGGACTCTTCATTCTTATAAAAACCCATCACTTTTCCCATCTGCAGCAGAATATGCACCTTTGGCACGTGGTCCCAGCAGCTCTCCAGGAGGTGATTCCCATCTTAGGTGCCCACCTGGGACCTCCAAGCTCCAAGCAGTGGTGACCACGGCCAATGAGACTCCATTGCCCATGGGCAACATCCCACCCCTGCCTTCCACCCACACTGGCCAAACCCAGCCCCATCCCAATGCACCTCATCCCTTGGCAGAAGCTCAGCCCATCCAAGCACAATGCCAGAGATCTCCACACAACATTAAGCAACCGAGATTTTAGTTTTGTTTTGACACAAAGCTCAGCCCTGCTCTGCCAGGAAGCTTCCTGGTGATAGATTTCTTCCCCCAGTGCCCTGCAGCAAGAGGGTAAAATTCCCCATAGCCTTCAGCCCTCCCATCACACCTGAGGGCATCTCAGAGGCTTCCCGGTCAGCCGGTCCAACCTCCTCCCTGCTCCCAAACTTCTCCAAACATCTCCACCTTCTCCAAGCAGGTCACTGAGTGCCCTGAGGCCGGGTCAGGCATAAGATGCCCCATAGCCACCATTCGGCCCTGTGGGCCAGAGCTTGGTGACACCGTCGTTGGATGGCCATAAGATGGTGGCTGGCCTTTGGTACGGCTCAGTGCCCAACATCTTCCTCCCCTTAAAAATCAGGTGAGCAGCATAAGCCCAGCCACCTAGGGATGAAAAGAAGATAAATCAATAGATTGCCTCAGGCATGGTGTTGGCTGTCATTAATGCAGGAAGGGGAGGGGGAGGATGGGGTGATTCACAAGGTCCTCAGTGAAGCAACCCAACCCCATCTCCAATTGCCGGCAGAGAGAAAAGACTGAGAAAGGAGCTGATTGCCCAAAGCAGACATTGACCCCAAAAAGCAACAGTAAGAAGCCCTCAGCACCCACCAGGTCCTCCTGAGTGCCCCAAGGTCTCTCCAGA